TATTAGGTTCAAATTATATTCAGTGGCTGGGAGAAGTGGCTGGGAGAAGTGGCTGGATAATCCAATGAGGGTCCAATGACTCTGCTTGGCCCTCCTTTAATGAATTAGCACAACCATCAAGAAGCCCAATTGTGACAATGTTTAGTGATCAGGCTCAGCTGAAGTCGTGATGATGGTAGTTATTTCATGCAGAAGGTACTGCTGTATAGCATCATCTTATTAAAAGGACATGGAATTTAAAAGGATTTGGTGCTAGGATCCATATATGAGGGACAACATATGTCATCTGTTTTTCTGAGTCTGTTACATCACTTAGTATAGCAGTTTCTAGATCCATCCATTTACTTGTAAATTCCATTATTTCATCTTTCTTTACTGCTGAATAGAACTCCATTGTGTAAATATACCTCATTTTTGTTAACCACTCATCAGTTGAGGGGCACTTAGTTTGCTTCCATCTCTTAGCTATTGTGAAAAAAGCAGCCACAAACATGGTTGTGCAAGTGTCTCTACAAGAGGTTGAGTCCTTTGGGCATATGCCAAGGAGTGGTATAATCAGGCCCAATGGTAGGTTCATTTTTAGTTTTTTTAAGAGTTCTCCACATGGTTTTCCATAGAGGTTGCATGAGTTTGCAATCCCATCAGCAGTGAATGAGCATTCCCCTTTCTCCACATCCTCACCAGCATTTGGTATCATTTGTTCTCTTGATCCTAGCCAGTCTGATTATGGTAAGGTGATACCTTAGGGTGATTTTAATTTGCATTTCCCTAATTAGTAACGATGTTGAACACTTTTTGAGATGTTTCTTAGTCATATTTATTTCTTCCTTTGAGAACTCTGTTTAGAGTTTTAGCGCATCTTTTAATTGGGTCATTTGGTTTTTCAATTCTTTGTTTTTTGAGTTTGTTATATATTCTGGATGTTAAACCCCTGTCAGATGTGTTACTGGTGAGGACTTTTTCCCATTCTTTGGGTTTTCTCTCCATTTTTTTCATTATTTCTTTTGCTGTACAGCAGTTTAATGAGGTCCCACTTGTTGATTGCTGACCTTAATTCCCTAGCACCAGCTGATTTAGAATAGCATTTCCTACACCTGTATCTTGTAAGTTACTGCCAATATTCTAATATTTTCAGGGTTTTCTGTTTCACATTGAGGTCTTTGATCCATTTGAATTTGACTTTTGTGCAAGGTGAAAGATAAGGATCTAGTTTCATTCTTCTACAGGTCAAGATCCAGTTTTGCCAGCCCCATTTGTTCAAGTTGCTGTCTTTCCTTCATTGTGTGCTCTTGGCACCTTTGTCAAATATCAGGTGGTTGAAATTGCATGTACTCTGGTTTGGATCTTCAATGATGTTCCATTGATCTATGAGTCTATTTTTGTACCAGTACCATGCTGTTTTTAAGAGTTATAGCCCTGTAGTATACTTTAAGATCTGGTATACTAATCACCCCAGCCATTGTTCTTTGTGCTCAGGGTTGCTTTGGCTATCTGGGGTCTTTGGTGCTTCTATATGAATTTAAGGATTTTTTTTTGATAATTCTGTGAAATATGTCATGGGGATTTTGATTGGGATTGAATTGAATCTATATATTGCTTTTGGTAGGATGGTTATTTTCACAATATTAATTCTTCCAATCCATGAGTATGAGAGTTCCTTCCATCTCCTGGTCTCTTCCTCAATCTCTTTATCAATTTAAAATTTTCATTGTAGGGCTCTTTGGTCAGATTTATTCCAGGATATTTATTTATTTATTTATTTATTTATTATTTTTGCAGCTATTGTGAATGGGAGCTTTTCCCTGTATTCTTTCTCCAATTGCTTGTTTTTGGTATACAGAAAGGCTACTGATTTTTGTAGATTGATTTTATAACCTGCCACTATACTGAAAGTGTTGATCAGTTCTAGGGCTTTTCTGGTGGAACTTTTGGGATCTTTTGTAAAGTATCATGTCATCTGCAAAAAGTGATAGTTTTACCTCTTCTTTTCCAATTAGTACTCCTTTAATTTCTTTCTCCTGTCTTATTGCTTTAGCAAGAGTTTTAAGCATTAGTTGAAAAGGAGTGGAGCTAGGGGACATCCAACGGACTCTCATATGAACATTTGAAAATTGCCCTGTTTTGACTTTTTTCTAGTCTAGAACTTGTAATGGTAATTATTCTTGCCTTTACTTCTCCTTCACATCTCCTATTCATGATTTAAAGACTTTCTTTTCCTCCTTTAGATAAGAGTTATGCAATTTGGGAGTCTTTGAGATAGACCCACTGAAGGGATACTCCAGTTGCCTCACCCTGCATCCCTGTTCAGCATGGAAGAAGCCAGGCAGTCTGCATCCTGATTCCCTATTGGCAATTTGAGTAACCTCTTCAGAGGATGCCATGATAAGAATAGGGTGTAGGTGCTGACTAGGCAGATAAGGTAAAAAGACTCCAAAGAAAAACAGCCAGTTTCTTGGCTAAAACTCACAATGTCCTTGGGCCTCTTAGCAACCTACTCCATTCCAAAGGCCAAAAATGTTGAAAATATTTGGGAGCTTTTATCTAATACTTAAAAGATTTTAGGGTTACCTCTTCAGAAGGGGGATGTTAGAGTAGCCAAAAGCCCCATAAAAAATGATCAAAAAAGAAGAAAAAGTAAATGAAGGTATCAAAAAAATTATGGGGAAGTATGGGAAGTTGGAGAGGAGGATGGATTTGATCAAAACACCTTATATGCATGTATGAAATTCTCAATAAATTATTTAAAAAATAAAAATAAAAATGAAAAACAATGGTTCCTGATTTGAATGGGAATGCTTCCAGTTTTTCTCCATTTAGAATGATGTTGACTGTGGGTTTGTTATATATAGTTTTAATTATATTGAGGTACATTCCCTCCAGTCCAGTTCTCTTTAGGACTTTGAACATAAATCCATGTTGAATTTTGTCTAAGGTCTTCTCTGCATCGATTGAGATGACCATGTGGTTCTTGTATTTGAGTCCATTTACATGATTTATGACATTTACTGACTTACATATATTGAACCATCCCTGCATCTGTGGAATAAAGCCGACTTAATCATGGTGGATGATCTTTCTGATGTGTGTCTGTATACAGTTTGCAAGTATTCTGTTGAGAATTTTTGCATCTATGTTCATTAAGAATATGGGTCTGTAGTTTTCTGTTTTGGCTGTATCTGGCTTTGGTATTAGAGTGATGCTGGCTTCATAGAATGAATTTGGGAGTTCTCCCTCTGTTTCTATTTTTTTTTGAATAAATTAAGTCATATTGGATATAGATCTTTAAATGTCAGGGAGAATTCTGCTGTATAAATCCATCTAGTCCTGGGCTTTTTTTATTCAACGTTTTGAATTACTGTTTCAATTTCTTTATGTGTTATGGGTCTGTTTATGCAGTTGTTCTCTTCTTGGGTTAGTTTTGGTGACCACAATGATTTTAGATACCCATCGATGTCTTTTAGGGTTTCAAATGTAGTCACGTATAGGTTTGTAAAGTATTCCGTTATAGTTCTGGATCTTTTTGGTGTGTGTTGTGATGTTTCCCCTTTCATCCCTATTTTTATTTATTTATTTATTTTTTTATTTTTTTTGATTTTGAGGTGCTCTTTCTTACCTTTGGTTAACTGGACTAAGGGTCTGTCAGTCTCGTTTATCTTTTCAAAGAGCAAGTTCTTGGAATTTTTGATTCTTTGTATTGTTTTCTTTGTTTCTATTTCATTAATTTCTCCTTTGATTTTTGTTATTTCTTCTCTGCTGGGTTTGGGTTTCATTTGTTGTTCCTTTTCAAGTGTCTTCAATTGCAATATTAAATCATTTATTTTTGTCCTTCTAATGTAGGCACTTAGAGCTATAAACGTCCCTCTATGGACTGATTTCAAAGTGTCCCAGAGGTTTTGTTGTATTTGTTGTATTGTCTTGTCCTTTTCATTTAGTTCCCAGAACAGTTTCTTTCTTAATTTCTCCTTTGACCCATTCATCACTCAGGAGTGTGTTGTTTAATCTCCATGTGTTCATGTAGTTACTAGGGTTTCTTCTGGTGCTGATTTTAAGCTTTATTGCATTGTGGTCTGATAGAATGCATGGAATTAGTTCAGATTTTTCTGTATTTATTTGTTCAATCTTTTCTGCCTTCTCTTCCTTGAGGAGCTGTCTTTTTTTTTTTTTTTGAGAAAGGGTATTCCTGTAGCCTCTGCTACTCTTGGAATTGTTATGTAGACCAGGCTGGCTTCAATCTCACAGAGATCCACATACCTTTGCTTCCCGAGTGCAGGATTAAAGGTCTATGCCTCCACAGGTGGCTAAATAATGTTTTATTTAAGAGCACAAAATTTTGTTGGGCATAGTGGCCCATGTTTTTAATTACAGCATTTGGGAATCAGAGGCAGGCGGATCTCTGTGAGATTGAGGCCATCCTGGACTGGTCTACATAGCAAGTGTCAGGGTAGCTGGGGCTACAGGGAGATCCGGTCTATAAATAAATAAATTAAATAAATAAATAAATAAATAAATAAACAAAAAAATGTCACCTGAGTTCACTTAGAGTCCTGTGCTCCTGGCATTATTAGACAAACCACATAGCACATCTTTATCTGAATTCTTCACAGGTCATATCCTGGGGAGAGGGAATAGACTAACATACAAAGGCAAACTCCCAGGTCTCCAAACAAAGGTGAATACCCCACATCCCATTCTGCTCTGTGGCTCAGTGGCCTGACATTCCAGATTGCTTCTGCACCCTGCCCACAGTCACCGTACACCTTGTGGACCCACAGTCTCGCTCCATGTTGGTAAACGTCCCCTCTCGCCCATGTGGGTGAGACACCAGGGGCCATTCCCTTTTGCAACAAGGCCCCCGTACCACTTCCCTTCCAAGATGGCACCGAAAGCCCCTCCCTCCTCCGCTAACTCTCTGCAGTCAATTCTCTGCAGCAGGCCTCGCTCCTTGGAGGAACCAGGCTCCTTGAGACACAATAAATAAAACACAAAAGTTTCAATGTGTCAAAATTTTTATGTCTCAGACCTTCAGGTTGTTTCCACAGAACCTAAAGATATACTTTATGTCACAAATTAAAATGTTCAATTATATTGTTCATCATCTGAGAATTCACAATGAACTAGAGACATCTTAAAAAGATTTTTTTGCCTTATTTCCAAAATTTTCCTGGACAGGACATTCGAGAGATACTATAATGAATCTGTTAAAATGGATATGATAAGTGTGTCTTTGCATGGAAAATCAGATTTCTATGTAATTATAAACAAGGTGAAGACACAGATTAGAAGTGTACCACTGCCATCCAATCAGATTTTCATGCTCACGTGGAAGCTTTTTTGTATAAGTAATTAATTTGGAAGGCACAGTAATTGTTGCTGTAGAGTTGAAAGTGGGCATTTTCATCTTAAAATGAATAGAAAGCATAGTTCAGTGGATATGAAAGTAGATTTGGGGACTTATATTTCATCAAAGAGATCCTCTGGACCGGTATTTCTCAGGGTTTCTAAAGACATGTTTTCAGTTGATGTCTGCTCCTTTTTCAAGGTCTCAGGTAGTGCAGGGTCAAGTCTAGAGTAAAAACAAAATCAAGATAGTTTCAGTTTTAGGTTTTAAAATATAGAATAAAAAAATGAAGACACACATAAGTAAAATGACAAAATCCTGCTTCAAGATAATTTGGAGAGATTTCTCTGTGCTGTTAACTATAACAAAGGTGATAATAGGAAATTTAACTCTTTAAATTGCTTTTGTATTTGTGTGTCTTTAGTTTAACAGATATTCAGGGCCTATAATTATGCTGGCAATACAACATCCCCTCCTCTGTGCTGTAACCATCTTTATACCAAGACACAGGAGATTTCCCAAGCCACTCCTTTAATGATTGCATCATAAGTTAATTTCTCTTTGGCTTCCTTAATTTTACCCATTAGTATCTATTTTATCTCTTAGTAGCTACGCACTGTGAGTCTCCAGTTGCAGTCAGCTGATGACCTGATTACCTGTATACAATTAATTACTCCATATTCATAGTGGCTGATGATGAAATATGCTGGTCCAAATCATGTGATCAACGTATCTTCACAAAGTAAACGGAATCTCTGTCTACTAGTGCAGTCACTGCTTCACTGGACTTGACTTATATGTGTAAGTGCAGGGTGTGATACCTATGACAGTAGCCTTGTTCACTGCCATGACCAGTTACGTGGGGTTGAGAAGACTGAGCTAAAGGGTTCATTAGATGTGAAGTTTAGGATCATGAATTTATGTCCTTGAATAAGCATCGCCAGTGGCTGTCCATGAACACAAAGAAATTTTGCTAAATGTTAACAATGAGAGGTAGCTTTAGGGGCAGTTTGATTAGACTGAGTGGGTCCATTCACAGAATATTTCCATATTTCCTGCTTCACGGCCATGGCTAGCTTACTATAGCTGAAAGAGTACAAGGCATGAAGTTAGGACACATGGGCACAAGTCCACCTCTACTTATCAGTGCTGAAGCTTTAGGAAAGCCAGTTAATCTAATAGGATTTTGGTTCTCTCATCTGGAAAACAGGTAACATGTCCTTCAGACATAAATTAAACTTTAGGTGATAGAAATGAAGACATTTGCAAGTTATTACCAAACATTTGGAAATCACTATTGCCAGTTCCTAATCCTGAATAAAGTATAAGAGCTCCTGGAAATAGCAGAATAAAGGCCCAACTAAAATCTAGAAGTACCAGCTATGCATGAGTATTGAAATATTCCTGCATTTAACCTTAGTTGTACAGATTATTACAAAAGAATCCACCACATAGTCCTCCTTGGATTCTTGAATACATACAATTAGCTACAGTTGACTACCTCTGACATAGGTAGTCAGAATTTTATCCAGAATAAGCCAAGTGCAGAAAACATTATTCTCAGAGGAATGTCAAAGTGCCAGATATTAATACATTGTCAAGATAACAAATACTACCCTCTAGGAGTTACCAGTAAATACAAATGCAATTATTATAGCATGTAATTAAATATGTAAACATATTTTCCACAGGAGGAGAAAATGAAGCAGTATAACCAACAGTTCATTATTACATGTATATATGCTTTCAGTGCCAACTCAAAACACATCAAACATTTATTCTCTGACCTGAAATGTCTTAGTTGCTTTTAGTAATCTTAGTCAAAAGAGAGAATTGAATCATGTCAATTATAAAGCAGACTTGGAAAGGCCTCTGTAATTTTGCTCACTGTCTAGACATCATACCACCAGAAAACAGAGATCTATCAATTTTGTTTTAAAAAAATCAGCAAAAGACAAAAGGATTGCTCTGAAGAGGCAGGTCTGAAAGAAATCTATTCCTGGTACTTCACTTATGACTGCAATCTCTGTCTAAAACTTGGAACTTAAGAAACAGATCTGACTCTTGCTCAGGGTGCCTAGCCATGATGTGCACGAGGTAAGCCCTGTACCATGAAAGACAGACACTGTTCTTCAGTTCTCATATCCATATGAGTCAGCAAAGGAAATTCAGAACTCTCTCTATAACCCCCACAAAATTAATCACTTTCACAAGTAAATATTTTTAATTTTTTTTGTAAATTCCAAAAGTCATAAAGAACATAAAATGAACTTTTCCTGTTTATACTTTTTGAAAATTTTCAAAGGTGAGATAATTTTATACTGGTGTAATTTTGAAACTTGATATTTCTCTGCACAATATGTCTGAGATATATTTACTTGTTGAACAATTTAGATCTACACTCATAGTTATTTTAATTTAGATGCACTAACCATTAGCCCAATGGTACACTGCTGGACTGGTTACATTTTAATTGATCTCAGGATGGGAATGGTGGCTCATGTCTCCAATCCCAGCATTCACAAGGCAGAGGCAGGCAGATCATGTTAAGTTTGTGCCATCCTGGCCTGCATAGCAAGTTCCAAAGCTACATAGTGAGGCTCTGTCTAAAAATAAAAAAAAAACCCCCAATTTTTTATCACTGTCATAAACATGAGAATAATATCCTTATACATATACTCATTCAATCAATATTTGCCGTATATGCACTATGAACTGCTCAGTGTGTGGGCAAAATATAACAAATATAATAAATTATGTAAAATGTGATTGCCGTTCTCAGAAAGTCTTGTTAGCATTTTTCTTTTTTTCTAAAGCACATTTTCATCCTAAAATTTTTACAAATAGCTTTAAGATAATGAATTAAAACTTTATAAGTATCTGTACATATTGTATTAATATTTAGGGTTCAGGTAAATTTTCAGAGTTTTCCATGGGTACAATGGTTCAGTCGAAAGAATTCTGAACCCAGGATCTGGAGATCTTTGAACTCAAGCACATTATATTTTGGTTCAGTCACTGCATCTTTCTGGACTTAGGCTTTATAATTTAATTTGTGTTGAATCAGAGTCACTATAGCAACTACGGAATTACTATGTTGAGCTTTTTCAGTCTTTGAATTTTGAGATAGTTATGCTCAAATAATTAGGCAAAGACTACTTCCCAAAATACAGGTCCTCAGAATAGATCAGTATAAGAAATGAATAATATGAATTAAAAAAAGAAAAGTTAATGACAGAATAAGAAACTATAGAGTTAAAAGCTGAAGGATGTTTTTTTTTTCCAAATAAGGAGAACAAAATTAAAATTCTCCATGCACTAAAAGCTGGCTTCTGTTCTCAATAATATAACTTCAGATTGCTAGTTCTAAGACTTTAATTTCACAATGCATTAAAACACAAACACACACAGACACCCAAATACTGACTTGAATTAAAATATATTATCAACCATCTGTAACCCCTGTTCTATGCTTGACACACTGGGCCTTAATACAGATGACAGAGTATATGAGTTCCAGTAGAGGGGCTGTGGGAGTGTGCTGGTGGGAACGGGGGTATAAAGATGATGAAGATTCTTTGAGATATTCTGTATAAAATACACAAAAATTCAATAAAGAGAAATTTTAAAAAAATATATACTATCACCATCTAATTAACAGTAGATAATTCAGAGTCATTTCTGTGGAGTGCTCAGCTATATATGTGACACATATTTCATACACCCTCCACACAAAGCTCAAGGATCACTGATGAAGATGGAGCAGAAAGATTGTTAAGAGTCAGACATAGTGAGTGATGCTGTGAAATAGTGTTCTGGACAAGACGGGGCTACCGCACTCATAAACTCACAGTGACTGTGACTTCATGCCCAAGATCAAGCCAGTTCAAATCCTAGCATGGATGGAGGAGGGGCTCAGGAAGTTCCACTCCTAGCTGAGGAGCTATTGGCTTGATGGCTGCGGAGGAGGATGATTCAGTTTTCATTAGGGATGAGGCCCAAGCACATTCTGGCAGCACTAAGTGAACTAAATGGATTTAGATAGACTACACGAATTTGGGAGGGGAAAGTGATGGGAGGATGTGGGAGGATTTGGAGGGGAGGGAGTAGGAGTGGTGGATTTGATCTAAGCATGTTATATGCATGTATGGAATTCTCAACAACAACAATAGCAACCCACAACAAAGCTAGTTTTGTTAAAACAAATATTTCACCCAGAGAATGTTTCTCTAAAGTGTTAGAATGGTTGACATTCTTCTTTCTTCCTGTGAGTTGAATTACTAACATCACTTGAGATTATATTTTCAGATATTAGCTCATTTTCTAAAGATATTTTCTTAATAAAGTTTAAAATAGTATCATCATGGCTGGAATTGAAAATCTTATTCCAATAAGAATAATGAATATATATTCTGAAAGCAATATTTGTGAAATGTATCAAGGAGTCTACTAGAACAAATGCAGGCGTCCAGAAAAATGTACAATGGCTGATAGATTTGTGACATCTGAAATATCAAATTCAACAGGAATAATAGTACAGAGCTTCAGAAAAAACCAATCTGGGCTTTAGAGATGGCTCAGCAGTTAAGAACACTGGTTGTTCTTGCAGAAGACCTGGGTTTGAATCCCAGCATCCATATGGCAGCTAAAAATTGTCCAAAACTCCAGTCCCAGGGGATCCGACAGCCTCTTCTGACCTCCACAGGCATTCATGACACAGGTGCACTTACCTACATGCAGGCAATACACACATACACATAAAATAAAAATAATAAAGAAAATCAATCTTTATGTGTTTTAAATATATCTCTACCTGGGCAAAAGACTTTTTATGTCTTATCCAAAACAAACCTACATAACATCAATTCTGGATAAATGAAACACTTAAATGAGAAAGGAAAATCCTTAAAGCTTTTTGAAAAAAAGGAATAGAGAAAATTATTAGTATTGTAGGATGGGTAAGACTAAGGAAGAAATGGACAACTATGAAGACTGATAATTCAGTCATATTAGAAACAGCATTGCCAAGAGAAGAGAAATAAAGGAGGGAAGAAAATACACTCCTACTTATAGTTACCTTAAAAAGAAGGGAAGTCATAAACTCTGAGATATACTGCAACATATCTTACTAACAAGAGATTTGGAGGCCAGTTAGATGGCTTAGTGGATAAAGGGGCTTGCTGCCAAACCAGACAACCTGAGTTCAATTCCCAGAACAAACATAA